ATTCAATGGGTCAATGCTGGGGGGGGCTGATCGTTTCGATGTAAACGTTGAATCAGATTCCGTAGGAATGGATTTCTTTGGTCCATTTTAAACGCCTCGATCAGCTTTCGAGGTTTTGGGATTCGATATTATGGTAATGATATTATAATTCGTAATTTTAATAACTTTAGTATCTAGACACTGTACTGACAACTTTTACTTTGTCGCGCTGTGATTCTGACGTATTCACGTATTATGATTTTGATACATTTTCATGATGATGAAAGAAAATGTTTAATCGCAAATTGCATTAATGCATATGGTCTACTTGGGAAGAGTATAATTTTATTTTACTGAAATCGTATTTTACTGAAATAAACGATAATGTTTCGAAACTGTAGATAAAATATACACAGAATTCGTTTGATGCATTAATAAGTTCAAAATATATTCATATATTTATGATGATAATTCAATATTTCACATACTCTACTAAACTTTGTTTTCAGAGTACTTGGTTCCATTATTCCGTCATTATTGTAGTTTATTATGCGACTCTACATTGTAGGTTAAAAATAACGGCAATTCTCTACTTCTGAAGAGTCGGTAGAAGACTAGTCAGAAAATATTCATCGAATCAATGAAATGGCTCTGGACTTGAAGTTGTAGGCTGGGTTGAAGTAACTTTCAAAGTTAGAAACCTTTGCGATATTACTAACAATAAGAAGATTTACAATGGATGCGAAACAACCAGTTTGTCTATATTTTCAAGTATCTTTAAAATAGACATCGTGGAAAAAAGATTAAGCATTTTCCTAGTTTAGAAGATTGATTTAAAAAGTTAAAAAATTTGTTATAATTATACGAACAATAAATATCTCATTCTATAAAAGAAAATTGATCGGAATAAATAAATATTTCTATTTATTTCGATTTACTGTTTAACCGCAAGTATAATAATAAAGATATAAATGTTCAAATAGACGTTCATTGATTTAATTAAACTCGCATAATTAGTTTTAGATCATCGTTGTTCCCCAGCATCCAGCGAATTCGGTCTTGGAAAGTAAATATTCAATAATTCTCGTGCAATTTCCGTAGTTATCTCGTTCCATAACTATTTATCACTCTCAAGCGTTCGTAATCAAATTAAAAGCGTTCTACCAGCAAAATTCAGATTAAAAGCTGCTCGTTGGCTCGATTAGGCGTCAGGCGTCCCTGACATCCGCTGATCGCCATTATTTCTCAACGCCGAACTTACATCGATAACTTCTCGAAATTCAAACACGTAACACATTACCACAAGGCTTCCACAATTTTGGTGCTTCTTTCGTTTTCCCATACACCACGCTTTTCATTTTTAATTTAATCCTCGACTTTCTAACTTCTCAGTCGCAAAGTGTTTTCTATAGTTTCCTCGGTTAAAGTACACATTAGAGCATGTTTATTCTAGCGTTAAAAATGTTTTCAACGTAAATGTAAATGCCGGTGACCGCAGGTTGACTTGATCAAAAGCGAATCGCGACTCGAGAAATATTTAGAGACACTGTCAGAAGAACCCGCTTAACCGCGCGTCCTCGAGGAAACTCAAACCGTTCTATCGCTAAAAGGCTACCTCTGAAAGAAAGAAAAAGAAAAAACTGGCCGAGCAATTCGAGCAAATTTCGCGTTCGGTTTTCCCAGTTATTCCCGATGATGAGTACTCGAACGAACAACTTTACAGCTCTGTATTCGCCATGTACACGCGCGCGTTCACACACCGTCGAGATAATAAAAACGACCGGTCGAATAAAGTTTTTATCGGCTTGTTAATTTTCGAAGCGGCCGCGGCAACGAGGCTCACGCGATTCGCTTTTGAAACTATTCCTCGCTGCTTATCATTGTTCCTTTCGCGCCGTATTCCCCACGAGGGACTAATGTTATTTATTCTGCAGTGCATGGAAAAAAGTTAACACACAAATGCTTCGCTATTCTGCGTAAATACCAACATACATATGTACATACATACACACACGTGTACGATGTATTATACACGACGGAGTAGCCGGACGCAACGCTGGACGGGCAAAATCTGAACACGAATTGAACATGCAGGTGTCCGTAAATAAACTCGTTGCATCGAGTTTGTTGCGGCGAACCGTTGGAACGTGAAGGGTGGTTACGCTTTCGCGGCTTGTTCGCCCGCTACAAAGCCTCGTCCGTGGACCGGGGCTTTTTATTTCGCGAAACTGTTTAGCCCGGTCCCAACGCCTCCGGTCGGGGAATATCGTTTACATAATTACAACGGCCAACCAGCGAGCGCGCCAACCGGAAGAGCCGCTCTTCCACAGCCTGCGTGTATGTATTATATTGCGGACCAGTATGCAATAACGAAAGGAGGAAAGGTTATTTTAAGTGCAACAACTTACGCGCAACCATTAAAGGTTATAGGTCTCTATTCAATATTAAAGCACTGGCTCTCGTGGTATGGTAGACAACGTTCCTATTACACAATAGCAAAGAACGACAATCACGTTGGAAGGTGGACGTTGCTGGGGATGGGACGGAAGTTAGCGAGTTGCGATTCAAACATAAGCAATCGTGGGAAAACGTCTTTATCCGAGGGAAAGTATAGGAAAACGGCGACTATGGCTATAGAAAGTTGAGTGGTCGCGTAACTCGAAACTTTCGCGGACTTAGGGTACGATTCTAAGGTTCTCTTAGTTCCCGTATGCGACTATGTATACGTGTGGTGAGCTGGCCTTCTGGCATTGGACCAATGACATGTTGTTGAATTCATTTTATAAAGGGAGAGACAGGCCAGCCAGTTTCTACGTGGACTGTTTCCAATAGGCGCGATTCGATCGTCGGTGGATAAAAAAAAAAAGGAAAATTGATTCGATGTTTAGCATATTGAGAATGCTCGACGTGCCTCGAATGGATAAAATGGCGGAGGCGTTGGTTATAACCGGCCTGTAGTACTCGTGCTATTTTTTTCCCTTTTTTTCATGTAGTTGGTCAAGCTGTTTAAGTGTCTCTGGACGCTATTATCTCGTTGATGGCAGCGCAGTGGGGGGAAATACACGGAATGGCAATGAGAATGAGAAATTTATGAGCAAAAGTCGAATGTGTACTTATATATAATTTAATAACTCTATAAACGTGCATACCATGATATTGATTTGCTGATGGTAATCAATATTAAGATACCGTTGTGCCGATCCCATTTTCCTTCGTTTACGTTACGGTACTACCTATTTTATTACAGTACCATGACTCCGTTTATACGCTCTCTCTCACACACACACACACATACACTCTCACTCCATCTCTCTTTCTCTCTGTATATACATAAGCTGGATTTCTATTACTTTTCTTAGAATTTGCGCCTGTAATTTGTGAACCGTATCTCGGGTAATTTGAATCAGCGCTGGAACGAAGCACGATCTCTTCATCTTACAAAGAGCATAATTTTCTCTCGCGCAGCATATCGCTGAAAGTAATGACAAAACAACGTTAGATGTATTTAAAACACCGATTTAAAATGATTAAAAATACAAGAAATTATTCAGTTCCTTTTTTATTTTCATTTATTTGTGTATTTTTTTCTGTATTAAACTCAGTTAGTTTTGTGTAAAATGTTCTCCGGCATCAAATCTGCAAAACTGTCGGCTACACGCGTTGTCAATCCCACGCAGTGCCATGAACTGTTTTCTATATATAAACACTCTGTTAATGTAGATGTTTTTAATAAAATGATATTATAAATAAAAGAAAAATTCACAAAGCTTTTAACACGATCTTTGGCAAGAATAACATTTTTTGCACTATTCTCTTTTCCTTTTTCATTTCACACCTATATAGATACATTATACGATAACATTCCCTAATTAAACCTTCATTGTTTCATAAATTGCAGGCGTTTATTTTGATATTACCATTTGTATGAGATTTTTTGCCATGTTTCTCTGAATATTCATTTCAAACGGGGTAGTTACGTTACAGTCTACAAGCTGCAACATAATATGTGAGACTCATTTGGAAATTGTATCTGGTACTTGAAAACTATCATTTTTGCTTTCCAGTAACTCGCGTTCGCTTATCTGTGGCAGCAGGTGTTCCAAATGACCACCATGTATTTTAACAAGTCTTATTCTTTTAACATATCCAGCTGTTACTAGAATTTGCTGGCAGCCTTGTTTAATTCGTTACAAGACTCTCTCCTGATTATTAATGAAAGCTGTTGCAGATAACGCGTCTAAAATAGGGTCAACGAATAAAATTCTGCTGAATTATTTCTTACAAAATAACTGAATAACAAAATTATAGAAATTTGTAAATGTTTAATATCTTTAATATTTAAAATTTGCTAATAATTTTCTATCAGTCATTCGCTTTATATCTCCTTTCAGGGGTCTTTGAAAAATATTTATATTCAGATTGATTTTATCTCATTAATTGGTTGAAAATATAGCCCTTTTTAGTAACTACTTAATGAAATTACGTGGAAATTATTGAATGGGAAAGTCCTTCGAGTTGGGTTGTTTCCCCGGCAACCATGAAAGAAAAATAATGACTCGTTTCGAATTTACGATGTCTACCGAGATTACAAGTTCAGCCGAGTTTTACGTCTCTGTGCTTTGCCAGCGGACAATGGCAGACTCGACAAACACTCGTTTCAATTACATACAAACATGTTAGAGCTTGATTGAGCCAGAGATATTTTAAAGTGAATTTTTTTTTTTTTTTTTTTTATTAGCAATCTGACGTTACCGCGACTATATAGAATTTATATTTTATACATTAATTAGCAGTTTAAATTTTAGGTTCGGTAGAAAACAGGGGGAATGTAAGATACAGAAGATAAGTGTAAAAACAAGGCCACTTTTTTTGCAAAAACGTCGAAATAAATTACTACTATGTAGTAGTAGAAACGACTTTACTTTTACTAAAAAATTTACTTTGAATTTATTACCTACGTCTACTTGAATTTTATTTTGTTGATTTATTTACTATATTATTGTTTTATTACAATGTTACAGGGCAGTTCCAGTCGAGGAGGAGTTCATATGGAATGGCATCACGTGGACCGTCGACGACGACGCTGCCAACCGCGATAGCGTTGGCCGTCGCGATGTCAGTGATGGCAAACGGTCTTTGTCCAACGCAATGCCACTGCGACGACGAGAGCTTGCACGCGTCCTGTGCTTACGCGAGCCTCGAGGTCGTTCCGATCCAATTGAACCCGGAGATCAGACACTTGGATCTGTCCAACAATCGTGTCGGCAATATTCACCTGTCGTTCGGTTTCTACGGTAACCTGGAAACGCTTGATCTCACGTCGAACGCTATCCACACGTTAGGCTCGGACAATTTCGTCTTCCAAAAGAATCTGGTCACATTGAACGTAAGCGGTAACGCCGTCAGAGCCTTGGCCAAGAATTCCTTGCAAGGTTTAGATTCTTTAAAGGAATTAAACTTAGCCAGCAACAATATCTCCGACATGGACGAGCAAGCGTTCAAAACCACTAGTGAACTAGAAATCTTGAATCTAAGCGACAACTCGATCACCAGTTTGCCAGAAGGATTATTAAAGAATCTGCACAAAATCCGCACGTTGATCTTGCACGGTAACTTTCTGTTAGAAATCCCCACCGACAATTTAGCTCTGGCTCCGAGCTTGGAGAACGTCGACCTATCCGACAATTTGATCCAGGAGCTTGACAGGGACTCGTTGCCGTCGTTGCCCTTATTAGTATTGTTAAACCTGGCGAACAACGTTATCAGGAATATCGCTGACGACGCGTTCGACCGACTACCTGACCTACTGCACCTAGATCTGTCCGGAAACAATCTGACATCCGTACCCACGTCCGCACTGGCTAGACTGAACGTTTTATCGAACCTGATTCTTAGTCGTAATCCACTAGGTACTTTAGAAGCCGGTGGATTTCGCAATCTATTTGAGCTAAGAAGTCTGGAGCTGAACGATTGCACGATCATTAGCGTGCACGCGCGAGCGTTCGCTGACAACGTGAACCTGGAACGAATCTCGTTGGATGGTAATCGAGGTTTGAAAGAGCTGCCAGCAAGGGTTCTCTATAGCGCCAGATATCTGAAATGGGTCTCTCTACGTCGATGCAGCCTGTCGACCCTGCAGCCCACGCAATTCCCTGTGGACGGCCTGTCGTCTCTTCGCGTCGGTGGCAATCCCCTGGTCTGCAATTGCTCTGTGCACTGGCTGTGGAACGTTATCAGAGCGGAAGAGCGGCGGAACGAGTCGAGGCTCGAGTTAGATACCCACGATATCGTCTGTACCGACGAGGAATTCGCCGGGAAAGCCCTAATCGCTCTGTCGGAGGGTTCGTTGCGGTGTCGGCTCAATCCTCTCTATCTGTCGTTGTCAGTAGTCGGTTGTGTAGCCGCGACAGCGACTATTATGGCGCTGATAGCGCATGTGACGCGGTCCAAGAGGAAGAAACGTTTGGCGTACGCGGCGCCCAATCGACCGGAATTCCTTGTCTACGTGGGCAGGAACAACGACGAACTGGACAAGAATGCGGAATCGTACAGTAGACGGCTGTTGGCTCGGAACGAGGATACCCCGTACGATACTCCACGCGGGAAGCCGGGACAAAGAAGCCCGCAACCGCAGGATACGAACATCTACGAGACGCCTAGGTACACCAGACCGACGACTAATCGTCGCGATACTGGCACCGATCCGACGTTTACCAGGCAGGCGGAAGAGGGTGTATACGCGGTGGCTGACGTTACCGATCTTCGCGACGAACCACCGGAAGTGCTGTCGCTTTATCGCATGCAGAGCCCCGCGGCTCCCAGATCGAACGTTCACCGACTGGACTATGGTTATGACTACGAGTACGATTACGATTACGAACCGCCGCTTCCTCAAAAACCTCACGTGGTGTTCGTTTGAGAGAACGGCAGCGTCTTAACGCTGCCCGATCTGTGAGAACAGAGATGGTTCTCAACCCTCTGGAGATTACCGAGATCCGTAACACGATGAAACCGAGCCGCTAGCTCTTCGTTCAGGGAGAAGATACTTTCCGAATCCCACGGAGAAGATTCATAGAGGAAATGGATTACCTAGTGACGCGTGCTAGTTTCGTCTTGTACTTCGGTCACGTCCGGGGATTACGGAAGAAATTCCAGTAGCGACAGTCTCGCGCGCTAGATCTATCGTTGTTGCGAGCTAGCAGAGAACAGAGGGAGGGAGGAGGGTACTTTGGACAAGACCTTAATAGGGCTGGATCTATTCTGACTGATTGGCCAAGATCAAACGTGATACGGTAATCCTTCCTTCACCGAAAGTATCGATTCTGTCGTCCGTAAGAGGTATACATGGAGTCGTGGCATACTCTCTCTTTCTCTCTCTCTCTTTCTCTCTATCTGATCCTTCTCTCTGTCCGATGAAATTTAACGCGTTGCTCGCGGATGGTAGATCGGTTGAAATCATTCGACTACGGATATACTATACCCACCATAGGATCTTCAGCATCATCAAGAGAATAGCATTCCATCGTCCATCGCGCAGAAACGGGGACAGATGGTGGACTAGACTCGTGGTGGACGAGCTGAAAATGAAATGTCTTCCGAGAGATAGTCGCGCCGCTGGAGAACAGCAGAATGCATTTTCGCTGGGGGAACGCAATCTGACTCGGAATGTAAATTGTACGGCGCATAAACGTGGCCACCGTTGTATTACACAGGGACTGGGAATAGGGAGGCTACGGGAACGTATTTATTTTCACGGATTGCGTCGGATTCCGTTGGTTCAGTGCAAATGCTGGGCGCCGTGTTCCGAGGCGGGCGTTCATTTCGCATTTAAACGTAGTGACAAATCAAATCAAAGCAGCGTCTCGTTAGTCCGTTTAAACCCTCCCTAGACTAGCATCCCAAGATTACTCTTCCTCTCTCACTCGCGTCTTCACCAAACGTGTATCTGTCTGTCCCTTTCTTAACCCTAATTTCGCTTTTCCCCTCTTTGTTCGTTCGTCATTCCTTTTACTGTCTGTCTATCTTCGTCCACGTTTCCCTTTGTCGATTCACCGTTCGAACAACTGTCCGCGTCCTTTAGAGGAACATTGACAAGATTTTTGCGAGACGGTCGGCTACCTCAAGCACAAGCGATTTACATAAGCAAGAAACGAGTTGAAAGAATGAAGGATCGCTGGGCGTCGTTAAATCCGCGTTCCTTCATCCTTTCGTTCGCTGTTTCTTTATCTTTCTCTTATCTGTCTTTATATCTTTGTATAAGGCGTATACACACACTTACAGATACGTGTATTAACGAACACACACGCGAAGCATAACCACACATTAAAACATACACCGAAGGGAGCAAAAGACACAATGTTAGAATTCGTAAAAACTGGACGGTTCCTTTTTCCTTTCCGCTTGAACCCGCTGAAGTCGAGTGAAGAGGGCCGTTTTCAGATGAACATTGTAAATTGAAGCAATAATAGACGCGACCTTTACCGTTAGGAAACACGTTACGATCGCACCGAGGTATATTTAGACACGAGAATTTCACGTTTATACAGACTTAAGCGTACTATATATATATATATATATATATATATATAGAATTTTATCTATTTTGTTAAAATCGAATGATTTTTCATTTTTCTCACAAGGCATCTTAAATTCTTAAGTAATTGAATTTATGTATGTATTATTAAAATAAAGTTATTCTTAAATAAAACTTAATTAACTCGAAACAATCGATTTAATCTACCATCCATTTAATCCTGATATTTAGATAGAAGATAAACATAATAAAAAATCGCCTAAGCCAATCGGACGTGACATTCTAAGAGAATAATACCGTTCGCTCTGACCTCGTTCCGCGAATCGAGGCGCTATTATTCCGATGGAATTGTTATTCCCGAAATCTTACAGCAATCCGAGGTTTTCGAGCGAGCGAACGAAGGCTCGGGCGAAGGTTTACCGTGGCGAATTGAATATTTAACTTTCAACCTTCTCCTTCGAGGAGCCATCGCGCTTGGAGACTTTAATCAGCAGGAATTCGATATTCCATTAAATTTCTAGACGCGTTGCGTTTCGAGGACGCGCACAACGACGGCAATACGCATACGGCCGAGTTATCCAGATCATCGTACTAACGGAGTCCGCGTAATAATCCTTGCGACACATTACGTGTCACGAATTACGATTTTCTGGGTGCACAATGTACATTTATGTAAATAAAAAATATATTTCCCTCCATAAGTCGCTGGACACTTAATAAGTTTAGGATAATTTCAATAGTTTAAACGAATTTACATTCCAAAATGGATTGCTTCTTAACTTAGATATCTTCTGCCAATTTCTTTTCTGTTTTACATATTTTATATTTTTTAGGTTTAAATTAAATATAGTAATTAACCTGTGATAATAAACGATGCAGGACGAATAAATAAAATCTATTACGATTATTATTATAGGTCCAGTTACTTACGATTGAAAGCATACTCGTACACATTGATACACGAATTCGAAAGTTCGATCGATGCTTCGTGATGGATACGTACGCATGTTCTTGTTGATGCATCAAGTATATTTTTTTTCTCGTATTCAAAACGTAACATCTTTTCCAAACTTAACATCATAAATTAATAAATAAATATATATATATCATTTATATATATCATCACTATATATATATATATATATATATATATATATAGTGATGATATATATAAATGATATATATATATTTATTTATTAATTTATGATGTTAAGTTTGGAAAAGATGTTACGTTTTGAATACGAGAAAAAAAATATACTTGATGCATCAACAAGAACATGCGTACGTATCCATCACGAAGCATCGATCGAACTTTCGAATTCGTGTATCAATGTGTACGAGTATGCTTTCAATCGTAAGTAACTGGACCTATAATAATAATCGTAATAGATTTTATTTATTCGTCCTGCATCGTTTATTATCACAGGTTAATTACTATATTTAATTTAAACCTAAAAAATATAAAATATGTAAAACAGAAAAGAAATTGGCAGAAGATATCTAAGTTAAGAAGCAATCCATTTTGGAATGTAAATTCGTTTAAACTATTGAAATTATCCTAAACTTATTAAGTGTCCAGCGACTTATGGAGGGAAATATATTTTTTATTTACATAAATGTACATTGTGCACCCAGAAAATCGTAATTCGTGACACGTAATGTGTCGCAAGGATTATTACGCGGACTCCGTTAGTACGATGATCTGGATAACTCGGCCGTATGCGTATTGCCGTCGTTGTGCGCGTCCTCGAAACGCAACGCGTCTAGAAATTTAATGGAATATCGAATTCCTGCTGATTAAAGTCTCCAAGCGCGATGGCTCCTCGAAGGAGAAGGTTGAAAGTTAAATATTCAATTCGCCACGGTAAACCTTCGCCCGAGCCTTCGTTCGCTCGCTCGAAAACCTCGGATTGCTGTAAGATTTCGGGAATAACAATTCCATCGGAATAATAGCGCCTCGATTCGCGGAACGAGGTCAGAGCGAACGGTATTATTCTCTTAGAATGTCACGTCCGATTGGCTTAGGCGATTTTTTATTATGTTTATCTTCTATCTAAATATCAGGATTAAATGGATGGTAGATTAAATCGATTGTTTCGAGTTAATTAAGTTTTATTTAAGAATAACTTTATTTTAATAATACATACATAAATTCAATTACTTAAGAATTTAAGATGCCTTGTGAGAAAAATGAAAAATCATTCGATTTTAACAAAATAGATAAAATTCGATTGTTGAAACTTAAAAGTTAATTCGTTTTATATTTAATTACACCTTCTTATCAAAACTATAACTTTACAATAATTTAGTGAAATAATCCAAGTATTAGTATGCAAACGTAAATATATGAATTTATTATTTAAAATCGCGTGTGTGTATCATTTCGTGGAAGGCTATAGCGGTTAAGCCATATTTACGTTTATAGGATCGATACAGAAGTTATTTTGGTAATAACAATTTACTATAGGCTTATTATTTTGTGAAAAATATCTACGATCGTCATTCTCCTTTTTCGCGATACATTTATCCTTAAACCTCTCAGGGCGCGATGTAAACCAATATCTTATGCTTTCCTTAAAACCTGATTTCAAGGGGTTCGTAAGTAGTAAAAACGATTTTTATCAGACCCGTATAGAGTCCATCGATCGAGAGTTAAATTCTCGATGGAATAACCTCCGTATGAAATAAACTCGCATAAAACTTGAAAGCCCTGACACACCAGGATACGAAACGGAATCCAAAAGCAAAAGAACTGCCAACGATAAATAATAACCGTATTCCATTGAAGTTCACTACAAAGCTTTGACTCTATACTATGTATTTATACCGTGTGTTCTAGGTTTCTCCCGTAAAATGGTATTAGTATATTCTGTGAGTAAAAGTAAGAAGAAATTTCAATGAAATTCTAATAAATAAATTTTCAAAATCTATAAATTCTAATCAAACTTGCCGATAAATGATTTATAAGGCCATTTGTACAACGATTTTTTTCTTATTTTCACTCGCAGTTATCTTCCGTATTAAATAGAAGTTTTAATAAAATTCCAATTGATAAATTTTAAGAATACAAAAATCCAAATGGAACGTTTATTACGAGAAGCTACGTTTATACAGAACTTTTTCTTATTTCTACTCACACAATGAATATCGGTTTGCAAAAAAAGAAAAAAAAACACACATACTGGGACATCCCACAATGTCAAAGATGCACAAATGAACGAAACGCAATCCGGAAAAGGGGCTCAAATAGAATTTACGGAGCGAATCCAACCGGGGCGGCCGAATTTGAACAGTTCCCCCGACGCTCGACCGCTTAATTTACGCCGCGATCGAATCGTCCCGATAGCTAGCAGGCTACATAAAGAATCGGAAATGGCTAAGCACAGCCAAATGAAATATTCGTGCCACCTGTAAGAACGCGATCCTGACGCGCTGGTGAAAGCGGTCAGAATACATCCGACGATCCCTTTCGCGTATTACTTCCGCGCCCCTCGGTGATCGGCAGACAGCTGTGAAAAATTAATTTTCCCCGAAGCAGCCGATCCCTCGGCAGTCGACTCGAATCGAGGGTGAAAACAGTGAAAACAGAAAACATCTACGGTCCCACTGACCCAGAAGCCGTGGTTCTCCCGTTCATGGACTATCGTCCGACCGTCCATCACTTTCAGAAAACTTTCCAAGTTTCGACAGCGAAGTTCGCAACCGATTGTCACGACCAGGCCGGAAACTTACTCGCAAGAATAGATCCGCCAGGTATAGAGACGATTTGATAACGCGGCGATTTTTCAATTCCCGTTTCATTTTCCGCCGATCAACGACAATAGAATCAAACTTCCCGAGCTGTCCGGAGTTCTATTAATCTGCATGTAAAATTATAGACGTCTGACATTGCCAAGTTCATCGTGTATGACCGTGTAAAAGTATTTCAGGGGAATTTAAGTTGGAAGTTGAACATACAGATTGGGTGATTTAAATATTTGCATTAAATTGTTGTTTTAACGAGGAAATTCGATCAATATCGTGCAGTTATAAACATAGTTAATTTACATTTTATCGAAATGTTATAAGAATAATGTAAGAAAAATGAGAATATTTAACAAAGATATCTAATATTGTAATATTCCCTAAATCAAACAATCCTGATACAAGTAATATTTCCACGTTCTTGATGACCTGAGAATAAATTTCATGCATACGCCTAAACCGATTACACCACGTGATACATAACTTAGTCCCATTTCGACCAGCCTGCTACACCCAGATTAATTCGATTCGGATTAAGCGAGCGTTCGAAGGCACGACTAAAGCAGGGCAAAGAAAATGAGCCCAGTAGAAGGGAAGTTTCGACCGAAGGAAACCTAGATTAAAGAGCAATCAGAGAAAAAAACGAAGAGAAGGGGAACTGAAAATGAAAAGAACGAACTGGGAGAAAAGAAAAAGCGAGTCACCGGACCACCCTCTGACAAGCCAAAATATTAGATTTGAGAGCATTTCATTGGACCCACTTTCCCGGTCGGTTAGCCAAGATTCCACGGTGGCATTTCGCCCGACTCGTTAGTCATGGTAGTTAGTCATGTTACACGGATTTCGCCCAAGGAACGAAGAAGAGAAAGATGAAAAAGAGGGAAGCTGTGCTCGAGCAGACGGAGAGCCGGTAGGTCGCGCGAGAAGAAACCAAAAAACGGCCTACCTCTGTTCCTTCTTCGTTCTTCACGGTGTTCCTTTCTCTGTTTTTTCCTTTCTCCCTCTCTCTCTCTCTCTCTCCCTCTCTTCTCTCTTACCTTTTTTCCTTTCCGGTTTCGTGTCACGGGGATCTCGATGCGTTCGAGGCGCGCCCCATCGACGGCTATTTTTGTATGTACATAGAGACAAGAGCTGCGCAACGTCGAATGCACATCACGTTCCTCAGACGCGTAAACGTCCGTC